AAAGCCATCTTAAATTTCTCTTGAGCTCCTAGCTGCTTCCTCTAAGCCTTTTTGTTCCAGGAAGAGCAAATTCTGCATGCTTGAACTGATGAGCAAGGGACAGCGTTAAGCTCACTTTACAGCCTTCTGTGATGAATGAGATGAGAGGAATGTCTCTGTAACCATCTTCCTGGCAGGAGGAGAACGTATCTAGTTCATCTGGTGTGTGGAAGTGGTATCTGTTACGTTGCTGGAACCTTGCATGCAACTCCTCTTCCTCTGAATTGCTTGTTACCTGCTATTTTAATGCCTTCAGACGCAAAGCTTATGCTTGAAGGCAGTGCTGGAGACTCTCAGCCAAGATGACAAAGTGTGTGGCATTATAAAGAGTTTATATTCCTGTAGATCACTGCTTATTTTTAGCTGTGTAGTTTCTGTGAGTGAATGAGTCATGTTGGTCTGCACATTTTGCAGTGACTTGAGTCTTAGTTTCTCAGTGCTAGGAGGAGAACCTTAAAAGTTGGTTGTGGGAGTTTTTTTTGTTTCATATTTTTCTTTAGTGGTTGGTGGGGAAAAGTCATTGCTGCCTTTGGCAAGCCAGAATATGTGGAACTTGTGTGAATTTTCTTTTATGGAATATAATGGGCCAAACTTGTGTAAGTAAAGTAAGTTCCTTTCTTTGGGCAGAAGAAAGGAAAGAGGAGGTGGGAGTGCTCAGACCCTTCAAAACTGGATTGATCTTCAGTTCTACTCCTGAGACTTTACCCTGGAAAATTTGGAAATTGTGTAACGATAAAATAAACTGAAGTGTTTGTCTTTAGAAAGTAAGTGGTGGCAACAATTGGCAGGGAGGACAATACTTGCTTCAAAAGAAACAAGCTTCTTTCTGTGCTACTCAATTGCTGCATGTAGCCAAGCTCTGTTTTCTGACCTGGTTCTTCAAAACTCCAAGTGAAAACAGAAATTCAGCTCTGAACTGGCAGATCAAGATATCCTGCTGCTCCCAGTCTTGCTCCAGTTGTTAGGTGTTAATTTGAGATTGGAGTGTTTACAATGAGAAAGCCAAGATTTGCCAAATGTGGATGATCCAGTTTTGGGACTGGAAAGAATTATTAAAGAAGTATTGGCATTTAGTGTAGGTGGTGTTCAATAAGCCTGGGACTCTTGATTGAGCAATTACCTTCTTTTAACTCTTATCAACATGTGAACCTTTCATGGTCAGCGTTCCCTCTTCAGATGCCCTTCAACAGGGGTGGACTTTTCAATATTTGTAGTTTTAGGAGTTATATGGAAATGGATTGTCATTAAAAATAGTAATACATCTTACTTACACGTGAGAGTAAGTGATCCATGATGAAGTAGCCCAAATACTGGTGGTGGTCAGAGTACTTCCTAGGAGGACAGCTTGTGTAGGAGCACTCCAGCTCACTTGTCAGCTCAGAGGTGTGAGGCAAGGATGGGTGTTTATGCTTTATTTGGGGTTTAGGTGCTGCTAGCAAATCATGGATTTCTTAGTCTTGGGCATTATTATGAATAAACTTGACTCATATTTTGGAAAGAGGTAGGCAGCTTGGGGAAGGGTGGGGAATTGCATGTGATAGTTCATTGCTCCTCTGACTTTAATTTGGGAGAAAAAGCCAACGCAAGTAGTTGCCTGTAGATTCTTTGTAGTGGTTTCCTTACATTGCAGTCATGTGGGGTGGGGAGGAGAGGCTGAGAAGATACAGCTAATCCATATTTGATCACAGGAGACGAAATTGTTACCAAAGATGAGTGTCCTGTGTTCTCTGTTTTCTCATGGCGTCTGATTTTTGTGTAAGCAGCAGTGTAGGAGTATGTTGAATAGGTGAGAACCAAGTTGCATAATTGGTGGATGTAAGGGCTGCAGAGTTCTCTCCCACATATTTAAAATGTGATTAATGAAAGGCTTGCATAACTTGAGTTACTGAGGTGGGGGAAGAAATCAGATTGGATGTGTGTGGCTGTTTTGCAAGGTAGGGTTGGCTGAGAAAAGTGTGAATGGAGAAGTCTGGGCTGTGCTTGGGCTGGGAGCTCAGCTGTGGAGCTGCACTCAGGGGTGTCTCCTACATGAAAGGTCCCTCTCTCCAACAGGGAAAAAAAAAAAGGCACAAAATGAATATCTGATTTAATCAGTTAGAGCAAATAATTGATGTAATGAGAGTTGTGGTTTCCAAGGTTCTGTTTAAAAAATACAGCTACTTCCAGCTGCAGACTTAATGACATAGTCACTCTTGGGCCTGCCTTACTAATCTCTTTTTGCACTCACCTGTCCCACCCAGTTTTAGTGGAGTAACCACTTAAGCAGATCATGGCTTGTGAGCTGTGACTGGAAGCACTTTTTAATGATGGGTGTCTTTGTTTCCCTGAGAATATCTTTCTCAAACTCTTCAAGGGTGACCCACACTGTAATTATGTCCCTTCAATCCTGGATGTAGAATCCAGCCTTCCTTTAGGTAACATTCTGAAATTATACCTACAGATTGTAAGGCAGAGTAGAAGCATACCAGAGATGTGTTGTATTTTGTTCAAATTTTGTTTTTCATTGTCAGTGAAACTAGTAAAATACTAGTTTTTCCCCTTAGATGTCATTGATTTTATTTTGTTGGTGAAAGGAAGAGTTACTTGTTGCCATGGATTATAGAAAGCATGACTGTAACTCTCTGAACAGAAACATGAATTTCAGATAACACCTTATTATTATTATTATTATTATTATTTATTGTTGTTGTTATTATTGTGTTTTCCTCCAAAATTGTAAACCTCAGTTGCAGCAAGCTGAAGATAGTTTTTATGCATCTTAGGAGTTGCCCTGTGAGCAGAAAGCAGGAGATGCCCAAGGATTTGGTAAAATTTAGTAGGTGCAGGACTCCTCTAGCAAGTTATATCTGGATTTCTTTCAAGATACAGGTGCAAGTTCTGCAGTGCTGCGTGGCAGTTTTCCTGGGCTTCCCAAAGTCCCTTCTCCCAGTGCACTGTGGCTGGAGCAGTGGTGCTTCCCAGGGGTGAGGAACTGGTGTTGAGCACCCTGTCTGGGCTGCCAAGGTTCAAGGAGCACTTGGAAACCTGTTCCTGAAATGTCCTGCTTACCTGGAAGCTAGTTTCTGTGCTGTGAAAAAGAAGGAAACCTAGAAATGGTACCTTCACAGGAGCAAGAGTCATTGGTACTAAGGAGCTCTGAATAGCTTCCCCCCACCTCTGTCACCCCCACCATAGCAATTTATCCCTGTTTATAAGTTAAAGCCTCAAATCCTGTGGCCTGAGAGTGTCAGAGCAGCTGGTTGTAATGGTCTCTTGTGATTTAAAATCTAACAGTTCTCACACACACCAGTTGCTGCGTCTTGAATCGTGTAGGAGGGTGCTCTCTGATAGAATGGGAGCATGAAATCAGGCAGGAATGGGGTGTGTAGTAGCCATTGCCTACGGTGGAAAAGATTGCCTGGTATGGGGCAAAAAAAAAGCTCAGTGAGAAGTCTCTCTCCTCTGCAGAGCTTGAGCAGGGGAAACGTCTGCTGCCCCAGGCTCAGGGAAGTCTCGTTCTTCCACTGACTTTTAAGAATATCAGAGGGTGGTTAAGAGAAAGTGCAGTTTGTTGTAGTAGCTGAAGGGGATGGGTTTTGTCCAAACTTGATTCCAGGGCTATGCTACTTGTTTTATTTTTGGCTGTAACTGCAGAGGGCTGGTGGGAGAGAAGGAGAATGAAATGTAAAGCTTCGTTATTCTTGGCCCCTGTTTATGAAGTGTTCCTGAAAGCTCAGGTGCCTGCTTTAAAGACACCTTGGGAAAGGCTGTTTTCTGTGGGGGTTAATGCAGAGGTGCTGAGCAGGTATGTAGGAGCCATTTGCCATGATGTACCCAGCACTGTGAAATTTTGGTCATGGATCATGCCTGAGATGTGTTGCTGACACTTGGAGTAGTCTGGCTAGTGTGGCTCTTGCAATGGCTGGAAAGCCAAACAAAGCTCTCCAGCCCTGAACGGGCACTGTGGCCAGTGGAGGGGGGCAGAGTGCTTGGCAGAAATGCAGAGAATTTGTATTTAATAATAAATAATTACAGGCCACCAGCATCCTGGCCTGTATCAAAAATAGTGTGGCCAATGGGAGCAGGGAAGGGATTGTGCTCCTGGACTCGGCCATAGCTTGAGCTCTGGGTTCAGTTTTGGGCACCACTGGATAAAAGAGACATTGAGGTGCTGGACTGGGTCCACAGAAGGGCAGCAAAGCTGGTGAAGGGTCTGGGGAACATATAAGGAGTGGTTGATGGAACTGGGGTTGTTTAGCCTGGAGAAGAGGAGGCTGAGGGGGGAGACCTTGTTGCTCTCTACAACTCCCTGGAAGAAGGTTGTAGCAAGATGGGGATTGGTCTCTTCTCCCAAGTAACCAGTGATGGGACGAGAAGAAATGGGCTTAAGTTGTGCTGGGTGTGGTTTCAATTGGCTATGAGGAAGAATTTCTTTCCTGACAGAGTGGTGAGGCACTGGAATGGGCTGTCCAGGGAGGTGCTGGAGTCACCATCCCTGGAGAGGTTAAAAAAAGCGTGTGGAGGTGGCACTTGGGGACACAGTTTAGTGGCCATGGTAGTGTTGGGTTGATGACTGAACTTGATGATCTTAGAATCATAAGGGTTGGAAAAGACCTCTATGATTTAAAAGTTAAAAGACCTCTCAAGTATTTGTATGAAGTGAGGTAGGCAGACATAAATAGAGATGTGAAAAGGCTGGTTTTGCAGAAAGGTGAAGAAGGAGCCCCAGAGCTGCTGCTCAGTAATCTGGATTGCATCTCTGTGGTGCTGTAGATTTGTTTTCTGTAAGGTAAAGTGCTTGTGTTGCAAAAATGAATGCTGCGTAGAACTGAAATTTACTGAATTGGATTTTTAAATATCAAAAAGTCAGAAAAAAATAAACAGTAATAAGAATAAAATACTTGCAAAGTTTCCCTAACTCTTCATGCAGTAAGTGTGATTTTATTTCTCTTTTTTTAACCTCCATCTGTTTTTTTTTGCAGGAGAAACTGTGGAAGGCCTTCGAGAGAGCGACTATCTTCTCATCCATTCCTGTCGGCAGTGGACAACCATCACAGCTCACAGCCTGGAAGAGGGGCACTACGTCATAGGGCCAAAGATAGAAATCCCTGTCCACTATGCAGGTAAAGCTCTTGTTCACCTGAGAGAGTCAAAAAGCTGCCCAAGAAAATGAATTGCCTGCCACTCACACCGATGGCTTTATCTGGCAGGGCGAGGCTGAGCCTCTGATGCTGGTGTCTTTGACTTTTTAATCATGTTACAGAGCACAGGAGATGCTGACTTGCTCCCAGAGCTGCTAAATAGATGTGTTTCATTGGGCAGCACATTGACAGGACACACAGCTACACAGAAGGATGGGTTTCACTTGGAGTATAATGAATTGCCAGTGCCTCTCATCTGTGAATGTGGTGACAGAAGTGTGAAAGCTGGAAAATGCCTTGAAATGTTCGGTCAGAGAGAGAGTGGGTTTTACACTTCATTGCATGCTCAAGCTGCAGGGGAGTTTTTAATATTTTCATGTTAAAAGCCAAGGACCCTTTGTAATAATACTGCAGTTTTACACTGATGCTCCTCAGTAGTTCCTTGTCACTCTCTGCCTTTTAGGATGATGCAGTAATACTGTTGTTCCAAGCAGATAGGATGCGACTAATCCATATTTATTTGAAGATTTCAAATTGTTTTTACTTTCCTAGGAAATGATTTTTAATACTGTTTCCTACCACTTAATGTCCTTATTCACAAGCTGAACAGGACAGTGCTATGTGAGTGGGAAGTGCTTATCTTACTGCAGTGGGTAGAAAAATCTAAAAAGCTGGGAAGTGTGAGCTGAAGCAAACACATGAGCTTAGTGTTTTACTTGGTCTTCTGTAGAACTCATTGTCAAGCTACTCAGCTCTTACAGTGCTCTTTAAAATGTTGGTGTGGTGAGGGTGTGCTGAGTTGTTCAAGGGCTGAGTGAGATGTTTTATTGGAGCCACACCAGTGCTGCAGCTGCAGTGAGGCACCTTTAACTTAGTGATGAAACTTGCATCAGTTGTCTTCTTGAATACTGTTTCTCCTTGGAGTTTGCTTATGGAAGCTTGTGCTTTTTAAGATGTGTTTAAAAGCTTTTGTCTGGTGGCCTTATAGTGTCATGATATATGTGGCTTTAAAACCCCTGAATTTAACTTTTAGTATAAAATTTCTACTGCTTGTGCTCGGTAACATAGATTTTTATTTATTTATTTTTAATTAATACACCTCCTGGCTGCATAAGCTTCAGTGCTGTGGCCAGATAAACACTTCACTTCCTTCAAACTGAATACCATGCTTTAAAATCCTCACTGGGATTCCTGGAAGGAGGAGAACAGAAAATAAAATGGTTATTGGCATGACAGAGAATTGGGTCTTCAGGGGTTTACTCAAGCTTGGTTCTTAATTTTTAAAGAAATGAACAAGCAGAGTTTCCTGCAACTGTTCATACTTCCATTTGTTTGTAGCTTAAATTTACACAGATACCAGCAAAATCAAAATCTGTCCCCTAGGATACTGCAGAAGTATCAATGTGCTTTTCTTCCTGGCTTGTGTTTGTGCAGGAGTGGAGTGTCTTTAGTTGGCAGAATGTTTTGCTGTCAAACCATCCTCAGAAAGTTCCCTGCCCTGAACCCTCTGTCAATGAGCACAACTAGCTTGGTGGCAGAATGTTTACATGGGGCTCAGCTGTAGATTTTGGGTTTAAAGGAGGGATTTTATGCCCTTGTAGGCACAATTGTAAACTGTGTTGCTGTCTAAATTTTGGATCATAGGACTGACTTTTGCATGCTTTCACTTTAAACTTCCATCAAATAAGATGTACTGCCTACTAGAATGACCCTTAGAGATGGAACATGAGTTCAGTAAGATTACTTTCTAGGTTTGTTTCTGCCTTAATGGAATAAATTCTCTTTTTTTTAACCCCTAGCAGAATTTTAATGTAGCAAATTACAGCATGATTTTGGTTGCAACAGTTGAGCAAGAAGGGAAGTTGAAAATTGTTCTTCTCCTGAGATTATGGGTTTAACTGCCACAAAGTCATCACTCACATATATAAATACGAGCATAAAGTAAATCTTATTTTGCTACTTGCTAAATCAGGTTTTGGTAAACGTATTACACCTAAATACAATACAGCCTTATTAAAGAAGGAAAATGCTGTATTTTATGTCAGCAGAACCCAAGTTCTGCAGTCCTGCTGAGTGTCCTTTTCCTGCTGGGAAACTGCTCCCCTGGTTGTTTCTGTAGGGGGTAGCTGACACGGTTTGGTTTTGCTGTTGCTGTCGAGGAAGGGTCATATATGACAGCTGTTAGTCTAACCATTCCCTCTTGAATACTCTTTCCAGTCTGCTTCTCTTTAGAGTAAAAGTTAAAGTTAATGTGGCATCGAGTTAATTTTCATGTAATTAAAACCCAATGGCTAATGCGTTTCTGGCTCCTAAAACAAAAGAGATCTTCATGTGGATAAAGAGTGGAGAGCAGATCAGAATTACTCTCCTGATAGTGCCCTGTCTTGGTGTGAGAGAGCAGACTTCCCAAGACTCCAGGGTAAGCCATCACAACAGATGGACACAGCTTTGGTGCCCTTTGCTTTCCTCGGGTGCACAGCTCACACTTGATACTTAGAGGAAGATCTTACCAGCTTTCTGTCTGACCTAGTTTTATGTTGGTCCTTGGTCGTATGATAGCCTTAAAACTAAATTTCCACTCTAAAAGCTAGTGTGTATCATCTGTACCCTCCAGCTGATGTCAGATGTTACTGCCAATTTTGGTTTAGGCAGCACTGTAATCTTTACCTTGATAAATGTCTTCTGATGTAGCCTCTGGAAAATACTGGTTTGTGATCTGAGGTTGGAAGATATAGGGCATGTTGACATCTTGCAGAACTGGACTTCACACCTCTCATTCCTTTGCAGAGGTAGCAGTGTGGGAGATGTGTCCCAGAGGTGCTGCTGCTGATGTATCACACATACTCTGTGATAACTGAAGGACATTGAAGGTACTGTCTGGGGCGTTGAATGCTGTGGCCCTCCTTGTGTTACCCTCCAGGGCTGTATAGCTGCTCAGAACTGTCCAAAGTGTTTTTGAGGATTCACCAGCTCAAGCCACAGAGGTCTTCTGCTCTGTCTCTAAATGGCCCAGGTTCATTCTGTTGTAGATGCTTGTGCCACGTGCTGGCAGTTCCTCTGCGTGCAGATGAGTGATTCAAACTTGATGGGCTTGGATGTGGTTGTTTAAAACCTGCTGTATGGGAAAAGCAGCACTGAGGGCTGTGATGGTGTTTCAAAAAAATTAAAATCCAAACCCCTACCTTTTCCTCTTCTTAAGCTTCTACTCAGTTTTGCCCAGGGTTTGGAGGGAGAACCATTTTGTGTCTCAGCTGCCATCTCTGAGCTCATGGGAGATAACTAAGGAAGAAACTGCTTTAATGGAAACATTAGAAAGTACCACCCTGTTCCAGGGTGTGCCACACTGTACCACATCCCTGGGGTTGGAGATACTCTTCTGTGCACTCACACCTCCCCAGCACATAGTGAAGGTGTGCAAGTGGTAACTCAGACAGAGTCATGGCTGGTGCCCTGGCTGCTTGCTTACCTAAGTGTGCTGATAGCTTTCTTAATGTCTTTTAAATGAGGAAACACAAAACCTTGTCCTGTGAACCTTCCCAGGTGGGGTGCTGGGTGGGAATGAGTCAGACATCCCTTCTCCAGTCCTAGAACTGGTGTACAAGGAAGGTCCTAATGAAACCTGTTCCTACTGGTCTGATTTGTTAATCATGGAGCAGTGCCTGATGGGCCTGTTCCTCATTATGTCCTGCTAGCACAGGGGAAGATGCTCTTTGCAGGTCTTCTCAAGAGTGAACTTGCCTTTGCAGTGGTGGAGTGGGAGAGCTCCCTCAGATTTTGCAAGGTGCAGCTGCAGAGGTTTTTCTGGTGTCCAAGGGCACGCCTGCCTCTGAGACAAGCTGCAGTTCCAGCAGGCCTGCTGCTGCCCACTCTGAGTAAGCAGACCTTGGACACTGAGTGCTGAAGTATGGTGTGTTAGGCATCTCCTAGTTGTCTTGAGGTGGTGACAGCAGCTGCTGCTGCTCAGTACCCACCTGGAACCTGATGAATCCAAGGTCTGGCAGAGTCTGGGTTTTTACTTTGCTGATTCTGAGCACTCTTAGATGCTTACAGTGTGTTGGGTCTTCTGTAAGTGTGCTGTACATCTCAGTGCTCTTCATGGCCCTGGAAAGAGCACACATGAGACTGGCAGATGTCCTCAGACAGCTTTATGTGGTATCTGCATACCTGGGGACAGGGGGGTGCTTCCTTGCCTTACATTAAAGAGTGAGACTCTTCACTCCCTCGAGTGCAGTTTACTGCTGTCTGCTGGTCAAGGAAGGTGGTGCTGAACAAAGAGCCTTTGTCTGGGGCTTTGCCTCCTTGGTTGCAGTGGGTGGTGTCAAGGAGAGCTACACCTGTTCCTCCTGTAAGAGGAGCAGTACAGCTCTGATGGGGTAATTTTTGAGTTCAAAGAGGTGGGTGAGATCCAAAATAGGGAGGAACACTGCTCTGGAGTAGGGAATTTCGGTGAGTCCTCCCCAAGCAGCAGCTACAGTGCTCCCTGATATGAAACACTTTTGTGTTTTAATTGGTGTTTTGCTTTGAATTTAATCTGGCACCCAACTGCCACAGCTCTCCTGGGGCTTTTGTGCTGTCCAGCTGAGAATAACAGGACCTGGATGCAGTGCTGCTGAGAGAGGCAGGCTGCCATGTGGGCTGCTAACCCTTCATGAAGGTATGTCCTCAGAAGAAAATCAAGGGGGAAAAAAAGCCCAACCTACAGGTTTAACACCCCTGTACCCAAGTTTTGGTTTGTTTGTCTTGGAAAAGGTTGTATGATCTGAAAAGGAGTTGGGGATTGGGAAGGTTTTCTTCACAGGTACTGCTAATAAAAGCATTGCCACCAGAGTATAGTCTTCATGCCTTCAAAAGAGAAGCAGGACTTCTGTAGCTCTGAATGCTTCACTGGGGGAAGCTTCCTGAGAATTACAACACTTTTCTCCCCATAACCAAATAAAAGAAAGTCTGTGGTAGTCACTTCAAAGCCTGGTTGTGGAGCAGTG